GTAAAAAGTAAAAATGGTTTGGCACCAGCAACCAGAGCTCGCTTCAGGTATGCCAAAATATTTCGGGATATAAACAAAGTGTGATCCTACTTCAGGTCGGAGGCCGTAACCTAATCCAAAATGTTTAAAATAAACCATTCATACAATAATATTTCTCTTTATATTGCAAATAAAAAGTAATTCATTTGTTTTGTCTTATTATATTGTTGATTATTATAGTATTTGTGGATACTTTTGGAGTGAGGGTAGCCATATGTGAGTAGTAGGGATTAAGTGTAAGGGGTTAAAGAAAAGGTCCTTTATTTCTCACAAGTGACTTGTGAGAAATAAAGGACCTTTTCTTTAACCCCTTACACTTAATTTGTGGATACGTTTTTGCATTATTGTGTTGATGAGTTTTATTGGATAGTTAGTTTGGATTAGTGTATCTCTGACTTTTTGAATTGCTATGTTTCTGTTTTCAGGGTTCGATAATTTGATGAAAATCATTACATGATTTTTCCATGCCGTTTTGTAGCTCGTCTTTCAAAAAATCAAACTATCGATATTATAAAAACTCTAACACCAGAACAAAGTTAAAACATAAAAATATAACCAACACTAAATAACAATAAAATATTAGATTTTTAAAAAACTAATGTAATTACAACTCGAAGTAGAATATTTTCTGCTGACTCACTTTTTCACTCCGTGACGTCACTGCGTCCTTAGCAACCGTGATGAGGCCACTGTGTTGTCCACGAACCGTGGCTATGGAGTACCAAGAATATTATTCCAAGGTACCTAACCTATACGGCATGATGAAGACATCGGCTTTTATATCCATATTATTATTGTTTGATTAACAATCAATAAACACATTTTAAAATTGAAAAATGTTTAAAGGGGAAATACTAGCATTTTTGTAGTATGAAAGTTTTAATCTAAATGTAGATATATTTTTATATGTACAATTTTTTAAAAAAAAAGTGTATTTAAGTGAGTCGAATTTTATGTAGAATGTGTAATTTACCTGTTGGATTAAGTGCGCAAATACCCTTAGACAGAATTTACCTGTTGTATAAAAGGCACAAGTAATGTAAAGGATTGTTCAAATAACATCTTTTAAAACCTTTTTTAGTAATTCTGGTAATACCAACTGATTCAAGATTCGGAAATAAAGGTAACCTTTATCATCGTTTGCCGTTCTCCGAACGCCAGGCTCCTCTCCTTTTTCTTGTCATCTGTCTTATGAAGATCTTCACCTGACTGAGCCATAAGACCCACACAAGCACAATAATTACTAACAATTTTAGTACATATATAACAAGTAGTCTTAAATGGAATTTACACATGTCGATCTAACCAATTGTTTTTTATTTTTAATAAAATAGTGTTTCTCATTTGTTCACTCAGATCAACCTACTTTAGCATTTCAGCTACGAGCTACGAACTCCACTTTTATATAGGTGTATATATTTTATGAGCTTTATACGAAAACCAGATGTTCGGTGCACGTTAAAATGTCACGTTTTAGTACATTTTAATCCGTCGCTGTTTAGCACACGATTTCCTGTGGTCTTTAAATGAACCGTTTTTCATTTTTAACTAGCTAGATATTAATTAACTTTTAGGTTTATTTTAAAATTAAAATTGACATTTTAATTTGGTTTTTTTTTTGCAAAGAAATTCTTAGTCGATATAATGTCGTAAGTAGAAAAGCAACGTAATTGCTTTTGCTGATGCTTGGTGGTTGCAGGGCCGCGACAAGCTATTTTGTCGCCCGTCAGCAAATATACCAAATAATAGGTTTAGCTGCGTTCTATTTTTTATTCCTTAACACAGAAATTATTGTAGAAATTGATTTTGAAAAAAATCTGAACAAAAATATGGGGATTAAGGAAGGGTTAAAATAAAAAAAATCATAAATGAACATGAAATATTAATAAAAAATGTAGGGAATGAAGCCTATTAATTCGAAAAAAAAAAAAATCTAAGTAAAAATCGGGGCATAAGGGGTGTTGAAATATTGAAAAATCCTAACTCAGAAACAAAAAAACGATATCAAATTGAAATCTTGACGAAAAATCAAGCTTTGTAAGGGGATGAAGCCTATTAATTCTGAAAAAATCTGAATAAAAATGAGGGGTTAAGGGGGATTAAACTATTTAAAAAAATTTTAACTCGAAAACGAAAATAATATTAACTTAAAATTTTTAACAAAACTCAAGCTATATCAGGGGAAAAATCCCTTTAAATTTGAAAAAAAAAAATCCTAATAAAAATAGGTGGTTGAAGGGGGATTGAAGTTAAAATATAATTAAATAAATTTGAAAATTCGGAAACAAATCTTAACAATCCCCTTACGAATTATTAAGACCATCCCCGGCCCCAAATGTGAAAACAAATATTAATAATTCGTAGGGGGATTGTTAGGATTTGTTTTCGAATTTTCAGATTTAGTTAAAAACTTAATTCCAGATAATTCTGACCTTTCGGATTTCGATTTTGCGATCTACGAAAATTCACAAATTTCATAAAAAATAATCATAACTCAAAAACGAAAAATAATATCAATTTAACGTTTTTAGCATAAATCAAGCTCTATAAGGAAATAAAACCTATTAATTCTGAAAAAAGTCTGAATCAAAATTGGGGGATAAGTGAGGTTGAATTTATTAAAAAAACGATATCAAATTGAAATCTTTAAAAAAAGGGGATGAAGCATATCAATTCTAAGAAAAATTGATTGAAGGTGTGGGTTAAGGGGGTGTCTGTTAAACTATAGGTCTGTTCGGGTTCTTCAAAAATACATTGAGAACTATCAGAGAACTAGCTGACTGGTTCTTGGATGATTTGCATCGAGTTTTAAAGAAACCTTGTCAAGATTATAATATAGAATGCTAAGCTTTATATATCTTCTTCTAGTTAATCATTAAATAGTAGTCTAATGACAATAAACTATAGAATAGTTTTAAAGGTAAATTCAAAGATATGCATTAGGCTTTTTCTACGGGGTAGAGCTCTCTGCGTAGGAGACTCTCTCTCCTACAATTCGCAGTGGCGACTCCAAAATAAGTCGAGGTTAGTTATATGGGAGATATTAGAGTTGATAAGTGTACTTTGTATATTTTATATTGTATCAAGCCCATATTTGTAGATGTCGGATTGCGATTTATTTTATAGAATTATTATAACATATTTGTTTTGAGAAAACTGTGTTTCCTTTAGTGTCTTTCGCAGAGGTACGTTATTTTCCTTTTGGTTATTTTGTTTAATTATATACAGAAGTATATGTTTATTACACATTAATATTTATTGATACTTTACAAAAGGAAGTCTCCACTTTTCTAAAAAAAATTTTCTTACACCTTTATTTATATTTTTTTTCTAGTATGTATTGGTTTTTAGGTGCTAGTGGGAAATGAAACTCATGTATGTGTGGGTAAAGCTTTTGGCACTGATCAGTGCCTTCTTCAGTAGTTTTTTTTATTATTGGTAAAATATTTTTTTTGGTATTATAGCCTTGTTTTGTTTTTAAATAATGAGTTTAACATCGACAGTTCTACAAGAAACATTTTTTTTTATAGTTAACTTTTTATTCTTTTATTATTATGTATTTGGCTTACCTTTGGGGTGTGTCGTTGAAATTGTTAAAATAAGTTTAAAATCCTTTTTTTTATATATTATATTGTATTTATTTCATTTATCCTTGTCATGTCTGTTGATATGTTGTTATTAATGTTTGTTTAAGTGTGTGGGTATTAGCACATTACTGATGTATTGACCAACGAACAAAAGAGAATATATTAAAAATAATTTCATTCAAGATATTGATGACTGCGTTAGAGCAAAGAAAGCGTGATCAATTATTGAAGACACACATTCGTCTGGCATATACCGTAATGTTGCTAAAATATATGATAACATTGACCAAAATTGATAATAATTTGGCTGATAGGTTAACAACAATTTTAACTGGGAATAATACAAGCAATCATCTATGTTAAGTATTTTGGTATCTAAATAAAGTTAGTTTCTTTTTTGTTTGATCAGTTATTAGAAATTAGCTCAACAAGGGGAAGTGTTCGAAATAGAATTAGTACATACAGTTAGTTAGAAGCAGGCTAATTTAAATTTTGAAGGACGTTTTTACCTTTCGAATTTATTAATGGCATTTTCATTTTTTTTATAAAAGTATATAAGAATGGTCGTCTTTATGAGCATCTATAAGCATATATAAACAGCGCAAGTCACAGTTTTTGCTATTCCTGTCGATCTGTAACTATTTTCGCTTAGATGTGCCAATCAACAGTTTACTTCTCATCGCAAACAAATGCACCGTTACAGAACGTCTTGCTATAAAGCTTCGCGACATCCGCTTCAGAAAATTTAGATAAAGTATAGTCCTCCCAATTAGTTATCTCTATAGCAACTCCCTCTCCTGCACATCGTCCCACGGGACCGAAAAAGTATTAACTACATTTCCTCCGCCTCATGATTTTCTGGTATCGATTGAAAATTTCTAAAAAGACGGTTATGAAGAGGGAGGAGAGATGGGCGCATCATATTTAATGCGATCAGCGATCAAAGGAAGACTAATTTCATACTTATGCGTTTCGCTTTAAGTTCGTTTTACTTTTTATGCCCCGGCTGCTGTATTAATATTTCCCGGAAGGGGATAACTTGGAGGGAGGGGTCAGAAGGAGATCGTAAAAAGGAAACGCTAAAGATAACGCTTTAAATTTCGTTTCATATTCGAATATTAAAAATCGAACGACGTTCTTCAAATTTTTATCGCGCGGTTATTTTAAGCCGGGAACATACTTTTAAGGATCTTGGAAAACTTTAATAAGCTTAAATTTACGTGGTAAAAATGAATAAATATAAGTACGTCCGTATTATTTCGTTTTATAGCTTTTTCCACATGCTTTTAATTTTATATTTTAAATTATTAACGACTTTTTGGAGCAATATAATATTCTCTTAGAAAATGATATGAGTAAAAACATAATACTTACTTCCAAATTAAAATAATTGCTATAAATACAAGAAGTCCAAGAAGTACGGAACACAAAACTATCACAGCCGATGTCTGGAAAGAGGGACTACTCCTATAGCTGGCATCTATCAGCTGAAACAAAAAAATAACAATTATTATGATGAATAAAAAATTGGAGATAAGGGATTGGCGTAGAATAGCAAACAAAAAAGAATGGAAAATAAGTTACGAAGCCATGGGCCTTCTAGGCACGTAGGCTTATATTAGAGCTTGGACAAATTCTCAAAAAATAGATCCGAATCACGAATCCGAATCATGATATGTGATTCGAATTACAGGTCCTATGTCCGAATCCTTTTTACAAAAAAAAAGAAGTGATTCAAATCCATTTTTTCTGATCACGAATACGAATCACTGTTACTATCTTACGTCATACCATTGTATTATGTATGCTTCCGAATCTACTATTGTCTACTATCAACTATGTGTCTATTATAAAAATGGCTTGATACAAAAAGATGTTGAATATTATAAACTATTTTTCTCTTTGAATATGAACCATAAATAAATTAGAATCTACAAAAAATACATTTTACTTTAATACACATAAAACACAATAATGAACAAACAAATGAAAATGGCCTTGCATAGCACCAAAATTTTAAAATTTCATTTGTCAGCCGTTCCTTCGAGATGCGATAATACGTGCAAACAAAAAAAATTGTTCGACTGCACCAAACGAAGGAAGGCATGTTAAATTTTAGGCTTTTAATGTTAGATATTAATTGCTAATTTGTAGATTATCAGGTTTATCTTCTAGATATTCACAATCGGTTTTCAGTCTGTCTGTTTCAGATTATACTTGGCGACAAAGCTTTAGGTTACTTTTGGACTAAAAATATTATAAAATATTTCCAGAAAATTGCTATTTTTAAAAACTAGGGGCTTTGCTAAGCTTCAAACGAGACCAGTAAAGTACCTTATTTTTTTTTTTCTAAAAAACAAACACGCCATGTTTTTAGACCATTTTTAGGCTTTTATAGGACTTGTTTTTTTAAAAAAATACAGGTTGATCGAAAAAAAAAAGTTCTCTGTTGGCTTCATGGCTTCATTCGAAGTGAAAATCTTTTATTGATTTTTTTTTAAAATCTGTTCTCTAATCATTCTTATACTAGGAAAATGTTTACAAACATTTTGAACGTACAGTTTTTTTATAAATAATAATATTATTTCACAATAAATTATCTTTAAAACTTTTATAATCGTACAATAGTAGCGTATTTTCTATTCTATATATATTTATTGCTTCACACAAACCACCTACGATTTATTCTAAAAGCTGAAAATTAGTAAAAAGTCAATGAAAACGTCTTTTAAATGATTATACAATATTTTCGCGATGTTGCCAAATCGAATATTATATCAAAGGGTAAAAGAAATTATAGATTCGTTAATATAAAGCAAATTAATTGTAGGATTCCTTTTTTGTAATTTAATGAAAATTTAAATTGCTCGTATACGGAAAAGAGGTTAATTAGAATTTTGATTTAATTAAATTATACAGGATTCAAAATAAAATATTATTGTGTTCACGGACCAATAAAAATAACCGATATTTCTCTATAAAAATGTATACATTTAAAGAACTGGAATGTTGTGTTAATTTGTTTCATACAACTGACACAAAAGGTTTCTACCGAGGGGTAAACCACTCCCGAAAACCCGGTAAATTTCACTCGAAATCGTTACAAATTCTTTCGAAATTTCCGAAATCGTCACGCAAATACCGTAACCATCACCGAAAATCATGGCCGAAATCATTTCGAAATCAATTTTTCTCTCCACACGGCAGGTGGTGGATCAAAAAACTGAAGAACTTACTTTTTAAAAGAAATAACTGTAGTTATTAAGCTAGTTCTTAAGTCTGCTTTTACTGTTAACCCTCTTTTAGAGTTCCGATGATCGGCTGGACGGTATTATTTAAATATTTCAAACTTTGCACAATTTAAATACCCTTTCATTTCATCTAAACTTTTGATTAACCAGTGTGTACACACCTGCTATCTGCTTGTCGTACTAAATTGTATTTGTACGTACAGACTGTTCGCTATACTTACGCGGGTTTCGGATCAGTGTGGCCAGAATATATTTTTGTAATGTACCAGATTTGTCTAAAAAATGTACCAGATTGCATAAAAATGTACTAGATTCTATACAATTGCCAGATTTTTCTCTCGAACAGCTTTTAAACCTTTTTTTATTTCTTAAGCTATTTTTAAACAATATTTTATCTTTCAATAAATTTCTAACATTATTCTATCTCTCGAGCAACTTTTTTATCTCTTTAGCAAACTGCACAATATTTTATCTCTCGACAAATAACAATATTTTAACTATCGATAAATTTTTAACAATGTTTTACGTCTCGAGCAATTTATAACAACTTTTTTTATCTCTCGAGCAATGTTTGTACAATATTTTATCTCTTGAGCAATTGCAAATAGTATTAAATCTCTCGAGCAATTTCTAATAGTAATTTATCGTTCGAGGATTTTTTTAACAATGTTTATCTCTCGAGAAATTTCTAACAGTATATCTCGAGTCAATTTTGAACAATATTTTATTTCTCAACAAATTTTTCAACAGTAATTTATCCCTGGAGCAATTTTTGAACACGATTTTAACAATTTATAATACTATTTATTCTCTCGAACAATTTATAAATATTTTTTATCTCTCATTAAATTTCTAACAGTATTTTTATCCTTAGAGAAATTTTTGAACAACATTTTACCCCTCAAGCAATTTCTAATACTATTTTATCCATCGGCCAATTTTTAACACCCTTTTTATCTCTCAAGCTTTTTTTGAATAATATTTGATCTCTCGTGCAATTTTTGAACAATGTTTTATCTCTCGAGAAATATCTATTTTATTTCTGAAGCAATTTTTAACAACTATTTTTATTTCTCTGGCAATTTTTGAACAATATATTTTACACTTCAAATGGAACATACGCTGAAAAAAGTACTAGATTGTGCTTCGAGTGTACTAGAGTACCAGATTCTCAGATAATGTACTAGATCTAGTACAATTGTACTAGACTGGCAACACTGTTTCGGATTAACAAAATTATGCAAATTAGTCATTGGCAACCAGTTCCAATAAGCCTCTTCCCAAGAAATTAGGTAAAATTGCCTTAATGGTCAGATTTAAATTAAAATAGCATTAAGGCAGGTACTAAATTTGTTACAAATATTGCAGTTGAATTGATTCTTTGCAAGTGTTGACATTGTATGTATATTGTAAATTTAGTGGAAATTCTAAAAATGCCTAGACGTGTGTTAGATGTAGATAGTCTAATTTGTAGTGTACATAAGTATTTTACCGATGAAAAAGAAAATGGCGGTCCTTTAAAATCGGTAATGTCTGTACAACAACGCGTAATAGAAGATTGGTGGACTCGTGAAAATAAAATAAACGAAATAACTCCAATCATAATACCAATTAATGGTGGTGACAGTGATGATGATGATGACGATTATGATATTTTAGATGATAATGACTGATTTTCATTTTTATTGGCAAGTTCAATTTTTTTATTTTTCATTTGAAATTCTCTACATGGAACAAATTTTTATGTTAGAAAATATTTTATTTGAGCTAAATAACCCTCTTATTATACATAGACCATATTTTCTGTGTGAAATGTAATATAAAATTATTATTAGGTTTATAATAGCCACATTAGACTCCATTAATGATACAAAAGATTCTCCATTATTATTTAATTAAAAAATTGTACATTATTTTTCATTTCATTTAACCAGTTGATATTTCTCCAAAGAACAGGTCAAACTTTCGGGTACTTACCTGGAAATACTCATAAAAATTTTAATCCGAAACCCGCGTAAGTATAGCGAGCAGACTGTACCTACTAGTGTATTAAAAACTTTGAAAAGGGTATACATTTAGTACGAATGTACTAGGACTGACAATGCTGCATCTGAATAATCATACATCAAATGCACAAAATGTCTGCAACATTGTTATGAAGTTATCAGCTAGAGATTTACATGCATGCGCCGCGGTCTAAAAAATTACCGCAGCGGCGTCGCGACGCCTAATACGCGTACTAGGCATTATATACGGCCAGCGATAAATATTCCGTATTTGTAACTGTCACAGTGGACCGGATAGATAGGACGTGAACGCAATCTGTTGATAACGCAACGTTTGTTCCTAGATATCAAAATCGACCGAGATCGGAGAGATATGGACGTGATTTGTGTATTGCTTGATAACGGGAATGAAATCCTAATTAATTTCGCTATGATTTAGGAGTTTAACCAGTTCGCAGCAAAAAATTATTTTATATCTGTAGTTGTTCGTAAACTAATTTTTTGAGTAGATTTTTCTTCCTTTAGATGTTGGATCCTCCACAGCATTTAACAAAAAAAGATTCCAAAATTTAAAACAGCAACTTGTATCAACTAATGAATGATAATAGACTTAAATGATGATTTAATTTATTATCTAAAAACTAAATTTGTACCTTTATGGACTTTAATTTTAAACTGCTTGTTCGTATTTTTCTTATTGATAAATTTAATATTGATATTAAACGAATGATTCTTCCAAAAGGAAATCCCACCTCTATCCCAGACGCTTTGGTGCATTCCCAGACAACACACCAAGTCCCAGAGATATCCACAGAATATATTTTGTGGATATCCAATATATCCACAGGATATCAGAAATATTCCGTGGAACTAATATGGATATCCAAATGTCCGTCTATATCCAGAATATAGAAGATATCCTATGGATATTCAGCAAAATATCTAATGAGTATCTCCAGACAATACAAGAAATCCCAGATATATCCATAGATTATATTTTGTGGATATCTAACCAAATGTCCGTCTATATCCCAGGATATAGAAATTCAGATAAATATTTTATAATTATTTTTAGTAGAGGTTCATAAGTAACCAATGGTTATTGAATAACATCGAAAGAAAATAGAGGTAAAAAATATTCCCAACAATCTGCCTTTGATTTTGCCTACTAAGGAGAAAATCATCCTTATTAGGAATCTTCAGCAATAAATGGAACTTCTCGACTTCAGT